CTCTATCAAATGCCTTTTCATAATCAATAAAGGCACAATAGAATCTAACCCCAAGAGTGTAAAATATTTTTCTACAAGGGTATAGAGTACAAAAATATTATTCAAAGTTGATTTACCTTTTTGAAATCCATTTTGTTCCTCAATTATTTCATTATATCGATTCAATCAATTACTTAACCTATCACTGAGAATACTTGTGTGTACTTTACTTATAGTATTCAAAAGCATTATACTTCCATAGTTTGCTGGGTCATCCCTGCAACCCTTTTTGTACACTGGGGAAATTAATCCCCTGCTCCATTCTATAGGAAACACCCCTTGATCAAAAACTTTGTTATATAGACTGTACAACAGATCACAGATGTCTAAAGATGCAAATTTCCAAAACTCAGAAGGAATTCCATCTGAGCCAGGTGATTTATTAGTATTTATTAGTGTCGGAACATAGTGCAGTCCCCCCTTCTCAGACACCCCCCTGTTCGCGCAAGCGCGGACATTGGCCGCTTACGCGGACACAAAAGTGTCCCCCTCACTTTTCAGAATGGATCGACGCCCCTGGCTATGGCCTTGTGACGCGTGCGCGGGTGACGACTCCCCCGCTTTAAGCAAGGCTGACACTTGCACGATTCTGTGGCACGCACTGGCACAACTAGTCGTAAAATGGCGTGAACTGTGCGTCTAAACCCGTCGTGACTGTGTGCCATGTCGGGATGAGAATTTTGAAAAATTCATAGTTTTGGTCACGACAAAATTTAGCGACCGGGTTGTATACTATGCGCAAACTGTTCGTAAACTCGCCGTGAACTCGTCGGGACAATGCGTGCCAGTGCGTGGCAGTGAGCGCCATGCCACGACTGTCACGAACTGCCACGAATAGTTCACGAACAGCTCACGTCGAGTTCACGACATATTTACGAATTGGTGTCTTTCCACGGCCACGTGTACTTCACGCATTGATGGCATAAGCAGTTCACGATCAGTTTACGCACTTCACGGACAGTTAATTTGCGCATGGCACGAACAGTTCACGACGAGTTCACGGGCAGTTCACGACTACTCTGCGACAGTGGCGTTCGCGTCGGTGCAGGGGTATATATAGGCTTCCTGGACACTGCTCTCCATTCAAGAGATCGCCAGCGAAGAGACAATTTATATGGTCGTCCGTAAGTGTTTCAAAAATAGGGCACCTTGACCTGGAGTTGGGGAGGTCCCCTTTTGATATGGCGTGCCCATTTCGGCACGACACCGTTAAAATTGCGCAAACTCGTCGTGCCAATGCGGGAAGTGCGTAAACTATGCGTGAACTCGTCGTGTCAGTTCGTGTCAATGTGGACACTGATGGGCACGCATTCGTGAACTATTCGTGAACTAGTAGTCGAACGAAATGGCACGACTTGCCACGACAAAAATCGTGGCCAAAAGTCGTGCAAGCGTCAGCCTTGCTTTCACTCACATTTAAATACAGATTTTGTTACGCAAAAACGAGTGTGCTTGCTATGATGTTCTCCACTTTTTTGAACCGTTTAACACCTGTATTTAAAAAACTAATATATACTTGAATTTACAAACTGAACAAACAACAAACCAGCACTCTCACTCACAATTTAGTTCACAATAAGTCAATACAATGCTGATCATTTCGAAGCCCTCGACCATTCTCATAATACTCGACAACAACAAATGCGAAACCTCCGCATTGAGCAGTTCTGAACTGCAGTCGGCCAGGTCGCAATATCATTGGGTCTAAATTATTTGAAAAAGATCTATTTCGCCAGCAGATCATTCACGATATTATTGTCAAATATTAAAGCGGGGGAGTCGTCACCTACGCATGCGTCAGGTGGCCATCGCGTGTCATTGTTTACAAACAAGCGTTTACCCATGAGCCTTTGCGTTCTTAGCGTGTGTTGTTATCATCGCTTGGGACTCAATTCCTGCGTGTGCGCAGGTGACAACCCTCCCGCTTTAAAATTGTCCAATTTATTTACTTTATTTGTCCATTGTTTTGTCACGCATAATGCCTTAGTATTAAATGCTTTTTTTTCACAAAAATTGCAAAAATTAAAAAACAAACAAACTTATGTTCAAGTATTGACGGGAAATCAAACTATACTAGCTCTAAGCTCAGACTAGTAATACTAGTATTACTAGTCTGAGCTCTAAGCTATTTTCTGATTTTCACTCAACCAACATACTTTTTAATTTGTATTTTATCATTATTCTTATTACCTTACCTTCATTACTTATTTTATTATTCTTGTTATAGTATATTTACTATGTAATTATTAATGGGCGAATATTTATCGGGAGGGTCGTCATCTGCGCACGCACAGGAATTGAGTCCCAAGCGATGATAACACACGCTAAGAACGCAAAGACTCATGGGTAGACGCTTGTTTGTTTTAAACAATGACACGTCATGGCCAACTGACGCATGCGCAGGTGACGACACCCCCCCCGCTTAAAACTGTCAGGGCCTGTCGACTACTAGTTATTTTTAAACATGGCGGACGTGCAGTCGGAACTCGAGCTCGACGAAAACACCCGAAGACTATATTTATCGAAGGTGAATGAAATTGTGGAAGAGCATATGAGGAGTGTCGAAGGGAACAAGCTCAAACCGTACGGCCTTAAAAGTGACAAGGGAGCTGGTATCAGGAATAACGGCATAGATGAACACGGCGCAGATTTAGGCAAGCTTACATTTGTTTACTACTGGTGTATCAATTTTCAGTTCTCGACATTAGCAATTGGCTCAGATTACAAAAATTTTATATTTTTACCATGAAATTTTATTAAAAATAAATAAAAGTAATATGACAAAAAGCGTAGTAGAATTGATAGCATTTTTATTTTGAACATTGTTGTCTTCAATCAGGGTACGAGTTTGTTCGAATTAGTATATACAAATTACAATGAGGTGGGGAAAATCACGTGACAACTTGAATATAATGGTAATAACGAAAATAAATCCTATCTTAACAGTTGAACAGAACGATCATATAAAGGTGGCGGCGGCACAAGGGGCAGAGGGGCGGTCGCTCTCTCGAAAAATATTTTGGGGGGCGTTGCCCCTCCAAAATAAAGCTGAAACCCTTTGTGTCAGCAAAATTTGCCCCCCAAAATGCAGGAAATAGCGTTGCAGAGGGTCCAGATTTTTTTTTAAAGAGAGCATGCCCCCGGACCCTCTAGTAAGGTCGTGCCTTTGGCGCGAGGTTCGTGAGCAGATTTTCGTGCTGCCGCCTCTGTATAGTCAGTCGGGTTACGCACTTCTATTAGTTGCAACAATGCCCGGTGGTTGAAACTAGGTCATGGCGTGACGCACTGGGAAGATATCATAAAACACTCACAAAATCACAATAAAACGGGGAAGTGGTCGCATATTACGGCGTAGAAAACATTGGGAATGAAAAATCGCTTAATACAAACGCCAAGGTTTCTAATCCTACTAGATGAACAGTCACCGGAACCAAAGCAATCATTTTGGCTTTTCCATTCAAATAATCGGGACATTGACATGGATAGCAAAATGGACACCATTCAAAGAACAACGTCGTGGCGTCGTATATAAGCGAGACATCGAATAAAAACATTAAAGCGAGAGGGTCGTCACCTGCGCACGCGCGGGAATTGAGTCCCAAGCGACGAAAACATCACACGCTAAAACGCAAAGGATCATGGGTAGACAATTGTTTATAAACAATGACACGCTATGACCATCTGACGCATGCGCAGGTGACGACTCTCCCGCTTTAAAACAAAATTAGCCTGGGTTCGAGTTCCGCTCAGAGCTACCGAGCTACCGAGCAAAACGTAAATAAAAAAAACCTGAAACATGTTAAACCCCCCCAAAAGAAATATTATGATTTGCGGGATTCTGAAAAAAAAAACGTTTCTCAACTTGTCCCTTTTATTTAGTTTCAAGACGTAGGGGTATTCAAGATGGCTGCCCTATGTAGTAGATATCAGATTATGAATCACATTTAATTCATTATGTGACGTGTACGCCAGCTGACTGTGCTCAGGGATTATTATTACTCAGTCCTAGCATGGAGGTATAAACATATGTTTATACCTCCATGGTCCTAGTTATGGGTAACAAATATTACATTCATAATCAGTGCATCGAGTCAGGGTCTCATGAATTAATAATGAGTGCAGTGAGTCAGGCCAGAATAGTTTTCAAAGGTTTTTGTAAGTAATATTATTTATTCACTCTTGGTACATGTTAGTTTAAACAAGTATCAGCAGGTATCTGGATAATGTTAGTAAACTTAGCATTTCAGTGAATTGATGGCCTCCCAAAATTAAGTGGAAATTTACAATTGGTTACTCACAGTATCCACAATTAGCAATAATAAAGAATGTGTTTATATTGTAAAACTTAAACAAATTAAAATATTATATGAAGATTGAAATAATCATTTAAATTAAATGTTATTCATAAGCTTAATAACAAGTAGAACAATCTTTTAGCTCAGTACTAAAAAAAAAATCGCCTCGCCCATTTTAAAATTTACATGAAACGAGAAACAGAGAATTTGTTTTTCCTAACCTAAAATCACTTTTGTATATTTATTCAATGTATTTTTATTCAATGTATTTCGGGAAACTTATGCGGGTGTATTGAATCACTGTCCTATCATGAAAGGTGTTTTGAGTCATGCGATGTATCAATTTAGATCACGTGCTTTACTTTGTAAAAAGAAATAGACTCAGGGATAGACAGATTCAGACAGACTCAGGTAGGGACACACCGGACCTGGTCCACTTGTTTGCTCTCTGGGTTTGGCCAACGCCCGAATACAGCTTTTGTACTCTATGCTTCGTTTTCCCGATGTCACCATCCGAATAAAGATTATCCGGTTCATACCACCCCCGTTTACAGTCTCAATCCTTTCCTGACATAGTAGAGCACCTCCACATCGTGGGTAAATGTTTTACGGGCTGATTCGTCTCAGGTGATAATGTTTTACGAATTATATTATTACACGTGGTATCAAAGACTGTCAGCTGCCCATATACCACATACTTGCTAAGAGCGACACGGATATTGTTTTAGAAACCACGCTTGCTGATAGCAATGTGAAGATACCCTTGATATTGTTTCAATTCAAGCGTCACCCGTGGGAATCCTGACAACGCCCATGATGGGTGTCCATACGAGCGATGTGACAAGGCTTTCATTACAGCTAGATGTTATGTCTTATTTATAGCATATCTAAAATGAGATAAAATAAGAAAGTGACTGGCATGTTTTATAAAAGAATATCATTCAGATTATGTATATCAATTACTAACATCAAGATTGTGAAACCATATTAATCACTGTAAATCTTGCTAATTAAAACAATTTAACTTCATGACGATAAATGCAAAAGTTTTAGCTGCTACAATATGGATTCCTTCAGAACGGATGCTACCACTTGTCAATGCCATCGAATTATGGAAAGCCTTGGGCAAATGATTTTAATTTGTAAGTTTTGCTAATCAGCAAGCAAAATTATCTAAGGCTTGTTGTAATTGTACTTTGATATATTGAATATTTTCTAACAGAAGTTCATCTCAAATGGAAGCAAACATAACACTGCATTAATAACAGTGGCTCTGTTTTTGTCCGCCTGCTCAACGGTCAAATATAGAATATTTAAATTCACGCTAGTTTAGTATCACTCCCTGAATCAGATGAACTATAAATATACGTATGCCTATAAATCAAATCGATGTACTAACAATTACACAATCGAAATTGTAATTGATGAACACAACATGATGATGTGGTAGTGTCATGGGGAAATTTCGTCTGTCTCTATGTCACGTCTGCTTGAGGTACCGGACCGGGAAAGTCACTTAAGCTTTACAGTCAAATAGACGCACACAACGAAATACGTTTCAATAGCCAGTCTTTAGCCATATCGAGAACGCCTCAAGGCAAACTGCCTCGTCCGAGACTCTGCCCAGGACTGACCAAGACTCTCTCGCCTCGTGGAGCTCTCTCTGGGACCAAGGACTTAGACCGTTTATTACGTATCAAAACTTAACCAATTACAAAGTAGTTTAAAGACATAAGGCGTAACCTTCACACATTCAATTTGCACATAGCCAATCACACTAAGTACTGAACACGTCATATCTACTGATTAATCGTTCACTATATTAATAACTGCAAATACCAAACTGTCAGAAATAGTGGTCAGGATGGCGACGGTTATATCGTAATTAGTTCCAAATCACTGAGTCAAGTTCCGTCCAGGACCTCGCATGAGCCTAAATGATAACAGATATAACACAGCCATTCACTAGTAACCAGCTAAATAAGTCGGTCAACAGATACGCGAAAACTAATTCATGACAGTAGAATCATTAGGACGACTCGAAACGCCGCTGCAGTCTGAGCAGGCACTCCGGGCAAGTCACAGTGCGATAGCTAGCTAGTAAATAACCACACTTCCGATATCAATATTGAATCGTCATATACTTACTTAGCAACTTCACCTAACAGTTTTGATGCACTTATACCATTTCAATCGGCGACGGATCTGCTAAGCATTTGATTTTGAAAAGTATGCAACAGATGAATTGAGCACCGAGTTTAGTTATGGCTACCAGGTCATCTGATTGCAATACCCCCTAAGTTAGCGTCACTGTTACTGCGTCAAAAAGATAACAATTTAGTCGGAAAAGATGGCAAGCAAAAAATATATAAAGAAGGACTATAATGGTTTTAATTTTCGCGGGTACATGAACCTTTTCATCTTCGGATCTCTTAACAAAGACTCGGCATTTCCCGACATTACAAGTACATTACAAGTACTCATCATTAATAAAATACATTTCACTTTTAAAATTTAGTTTGTAATATTAGATATGTTTTCGACAATAAAAAAGTTTATGATATCAAAATTCATACTGTGATAAGATATTGTCTATTTATATAACCTAGTTTATCATTATTTTTCAGATGAAATATTGAATGCAGTTAAAGACCATGTACTCCATGATGGTCTACAAAGTAACCATAGCAACAATTTTGCGTACTTGTGCCCTGGTGGAGTTTTTAGTTCGGCACTCGCCAGCTACTTGGCCGCCTACACCAATCCTTATGTCGGTAAGCGTATAAATAAAGTTTGATTGAGTGTGATAGTCAGTTTATAGGAGCGCCGGATCAACAAGGCATATATAGTATGTCTTGGTAGGATCGTCCAATGCTGATATTGTAATGATTCACAATGTTTAGAAATTGATAGAATAATTTAGATTTGTCTTCGCTGTTGTCTGAAACAATTATATTTAAAATTGCCTTGGTATGACCTATTTTCATGAATGTATTATGTAAACCATATGGCGTTATTAAAGTGTGTACAACTTGTATTTTTAGATGAATGGCATATGTATTAAAAAAAATAAAATGGAGTATTGTGGAGAGTGTTTTCTTGTCGGTCCAAATCATTCGGTGGCCAGTAATTTGCTTCGGTAGATTTAGTGCAATCCAGGGTAATCACAAACATACCAAACACGTATATTGTCCAAGAAACTGTTATAGTACTTTGGAGTATTTAAAGAGGTAAACACATGTTTTTTGTGTATTCTATGAACCCCCTTCTTGATGGGTATAATCACAGTCCCTCAAATATTATCCCAGTTGCGTCTTAACACATTGACTCTTAAGTTGTGCAGAAATATAAAAATGTTAATCTGTCAGAAGAAACTCATTGATTGTGGAGTTGGTGGCCTTTCAAACAAAATGTGGTCCGAGGGCTACAAGATCACGGTTAATAGCGAACCCGGGCCAGCTCTATCTGTTAAATAACAAATTGTTGTTTATAGATTATTACAATCATATGACTCTGTACATACAATGTTATATATATATTTCACAAAATATTATCTTTGTTCGTTGAGTAAATATGACAATGTCATATATTCTGACGGAATTATATATAAATCCACTGCGGCATATTAGTGTCTGGTGTACAGTAAATTTAACTGTATTTTTTGTGAATTCGTACATGTGGCTGATCTATTATTGAATTCCATAAATATAATATAAATACTTATATCTAAAGTTCATGTATCCATTTATTAGATTTTACTCCATGGCATTCGCCACAAACTTATGTAACCGGCGAAATGTTTTTTTTGCAAAGTTCCACCTTATGTTAATTTTGTAATTGAATGTTGAGTTCTTTAAGGGTATATCGGGATGATGAAGCTAGTCCAAGATCTTGACTATGGGAAGGTGCAAAATACAAATGTTATTAGAATAAAATATATGTTATTTCAGGGTCTTTTGAAACGAATCCTGCTGGGGTACGAATGGAGCATATGGTAATCGACTGGGTAGCAGGGATGATGGGTTTCCCAGCAGGCTATGCAGGCAATATTACTCCCGGTGGATCTAATGCAACCCTTCTAGCCGTTACCGCCGCCAGAGAGAATATAAATGTCCGATGTGGTGATTACAATAGGTAAGATAATAATCGTATAATCGTAGAACTGTCTTTTAAACAGACAATTTTCCGTCCACTGCGAGAACTCGCATTAAAAACAGTATAAACAAATTTCATAGTGTATCAGTGACGTCATAACATCGAGAACGTTTTTCAGGGTATTTTACGCTCAATAATGTGGTCTACATATTTGATAATAGTAAATTTTGATGAAGTAAAGGAATCTTAACGCAATATCCCCCTCTCAAAGATCAGCATTTCAACATTGAGCTGTAAAATAGAAATTTAAAATTCAAATCGTTCGATTTTATTTATTTTATTTATTAAGTATCAACAACAATGGTCAATCACATTATGCCTTGTATTTCGTGTAGAGAAAACGGGGTTTATTTTCACCCGACTCACGGCACGTGACAAATCCGTAACGTGAGTACCACTAATGTCTATACCTATTATGTAACGTTTTTTCACAATCTACTCTAATCAGTCGTGTTCAGGCGACACCAAGCACGGGCAAGGGAGGCAAACTGAATTGAACTCTGGCAGTTCCCGGTTCTCGTTCGGCCCCGACCATGTGAACGCTTTGGAGATAATCTCCTGTTAATCGGTGCATATGATCGTTGGGAGGAGCAGTAGTTCGGTTCGATAGTATGCTGTAGTGCTTACGCTACACAAAGTACGGTCCACGATGTGTGCATATCGGATAGACCCAATTGCGTTCACACACGGGAGGAAACATGTACAGTGGTTACCACGGGCTAAGGAACGTCTAAGCTTGTTAAGAATATACACAAATCTTCAGTCATTTTAAGTATGATAACTCAGTACAGTAACTAGAAAGTTATACATGTTAGTTCTACGGTTATAAAAACAATACCAATGTAAATTCAGAAAGTACAGAATGTAGAATAACAGGAAGTAGCACAGAGTCATCGTCATTTCATTTTTTCACGAGAACAATATCTCTTGATCGATGTGCTGGCATTTTTCATGTCAGAAAAGAAGAATATTTATGAATATAATAGTAATAATCTTCCAAATGAACAATGAATACAATGATAGCATTTTTGGCGCTTAGGCGTCCGCACCTACTTCATTAGCTCATTCTAAGGCTCTGGAAAGGCTCTTAAAACGGGCCAGATTTAGGGTCTCTTAAACCGTGCTAAGCGTTCACGCATGTTTTCTTAGCACGAACACAACCCTGTTGAATCTGTAGCACCTTCACCCAGGATAGGACCCTTTTTATTATTGTAACCCGGGAAGGGTAGGACCTCGACCCCATCCAACAACCACCGTCAGATAAAGCCAAATATTAAAGCAAATAAGAATAGTTGTAACACGCACAATTCAACGTCATATTTTCATTTTGAATTTCATCGAACTGAACTCTTGGGGGCATCGATATGTTTAATTGGCGAATGTACGAAATTGTGATTTATCGTAACCGTAGCAACCCACCATATTGGACTATTCTTTAGTTATTCATTATTAACTTTATTACATTTTAAACGCTAAATTAGAAATGTAAAATTTTCTGCACGGTTGTAATAAAGCTGTTAAAGACATATAATAAATACTGACTTGCGGACATTATTCCGTTAGCTTGTTAATAAAAATTACATAACTATAAACATACTGACGTCATGTTCTAAAGCTAATTGTTAAAACAAATCTGTAATACATGTTTCGAAACTGCGAGTAAAATGTCAGTTGGCTTAATTTCTATCGAAATTATTCCTTGATTAACATGCATGACTAATTATGTAAAATGCAAATATTATCTAACTTTTTAGGGTTATACGTAACAAATATCGAAGGATTGGCAAAAAGCAATTAATTATGCATAAAACGAAGTTTTCTCTTATTCGGATGCCAATTATGAATTATATAAATGTGCACGTGACTACATCGCATTCTCCGAGATTACTAAATAACTGACGATGATATCCACACTCCGCATTCGATTAATATTCTTATTGCTGTAAGAAAATATATGAATAATAATGTTGTACAACAATATATGATTATCGGTCTTTTATTTTAAGATATTTTTCCTCTACTAAATTTAGTATAAGGAAATAAAATAAATCACAATTATAGTATGACTAATATGATGCATGTTGTATTTCAGGTTGGTAGTGTACATTACAGACTGGACACACCAGTGTTTCCGTAAAGCACTATTTACTGCTGGATTGAAGGAAACTGTTATACGTAAAGTGCCCGTGGACGCTGAGTATAGAATGGATGTAAAAATACTAAAGGCACTAATTGCACAGGACATCGAGGTAAATTTATAGCCGTCCTTACTTTTGTAATAATTGTCAGATTTAAGAGAAGCTCTGAAAGACTAATATTATCGCCATAAATCAATTTATATCACACAGGAAGAGCTTATCCCGTTTATGATTGGCAGTACCATTGGAACTGCTGTCATTGGAGCGGTTGACGCAATTGGTAGAATAGCGGATGTCGCTAATGAATATGGTATCTGGCTACATGTAGATGCGGCGTATGGAGGATTTTTTGTTTTGGTGGAAGAACTGAAGGACTACTTTAATGACGTATGCAGATGTGACTCGATAATTGTGGATCCGCATAAATGTATTACTACGAGTATTTTAATTCAACCAATCAATCAATCAATCAATCAATCAATCAATCAATCAATCAATCAATCAATAATTAATCATATATGCTTGTGAATCTACAGCGTTGTTCATGCCGTTTGGTTATGGAATTTTCATCGTCAAGAAGGGAAAAATTCTGCAGTCCTGTTTCCGCCATGACAGCTTGTTTGTTACTACCATGCAAGATGAAGAAGAGTCCCCCGTTAACATTTCAATTGAGAGAACGAAACCATTCAGGTGAGAAGATTTTTAATTTATACGTCTAAACTAACCCATCACACGAGCAGACTAAATAATCAGATGAGATGATAACTGAACATTCTGATAAAAGGACTAAAACTTCCATTTAAGACATTCATATTATGCAGGAAGATTAAGACTATCAGTCAGGTTGCTGACCCCACGATTAAAACTGAGTGTACAATATGATATGGCTTAGATTTGTTTGCTGCAATGTGTTCAACATTGGCATCGTTGGCATTTCTTGGTAATTTACATATAATCAAAATGGCCGCCACTGTACAAAAAGGGCAAAACATAAATAACAAGGAAAGTCTAATACTCTCGTATCTTGTATACATGATCAATCAATTTTGAATCGTTTATACATTTATTTTAATGTTTGTGTAAGTGCATGTGTACTAAGACTAAAGTTTATCTTCATACCAGGGCTCTGGGACTGTGGCTACCACTAAGACTGCATGGTGTTGCAGCATTCAGGCGTTGTTTGGAGGAAAAACTTTGCCTAGCACGATATATGTACAGGAGTCTGAAAGGTTAGATTTGAAAAATGATACTTGTCGTTTTTTGTTATCTTATTCACGTGGCGATGAGCTGATAATATTGCCTACATGCCTATATGCCGATTGTTCTTGTATGGTTCGATGTAGGCGGAATTGCATTTACTAAGATTAATAGATTTAACTGATCAATTGATTTACCATATTTTATTTTATTTTTATTTTATTTTATTCAGAGATACCAGGATTCCGTGTCGGACCATATCCACAGCTAACCATTGTATTATTCAAGTACGACACCGGAAATGAAACCAGGAACAACGATATCAATCGTGAATTACATAACGCAATTTTGAAAGATGGTCACTTTTATATTTCCTCGGCAATTATAGACAATAATTTTTTTCTTAGAACCTGTATTCTAAATTCTCGTTCACATAGAAACGTTATTGACGAGTTTTTGTCTACCCTCAAAAAATTAACAACGTGTCTATTACAAACACTCGGACCATAATGTATCATTATGACAGCATCATGCACCATCGTGTTATAATGAGTGTGACGTACACAACGCACGGGAATATTTTTTGTTTTCACAAAATTCAAATTTGACGACGACTGTGACAATATTTATATATTAAAGTACGTCAAGTGTAGATACATAGAGACGGTATGTGGAAGTATTTATGAGCCAAATAGAAAAGCCTGTATTCAAATAATTGGTGATCATAAGGGAAATCATATTTAAATCTAAATAAAATATAAATCACAGTGTATTGTATGATTCAAATTATTTCCCTGTACGTCGCTCCCTCGTTTACTCATTAACGTCATTTTGACAGCATAGACGTGATTCGCTGCTAGATCAATGACATTTAGGAGAGGCGTCTCGTTCCTAGACATCGTTGGGGGATATATAATGTGCGTTATATAGTGTTTGACCAAAAGGACGGGCGATGCTATTTAGACACTACGCATCAATCTACGGGTGTTTGCTTTGAAACTAAACTGCAAGGATGGAGAAATAGAATAATTATTTTCCGTGTGATATTTAGAGAACATTTATCACGAATAAATATACATGATGTGCATACGTTGCGAGTGAAGTGCAGAGAAACGTTTTCTATAAAACGTCTGTATGAATACACTACGCACGCGCAGAAAATATATCCCATGGTTCTTCTCGAAACTCCATTATTAAATTCCAGAGGAATGCGAGCATTTGATCAGCCGATGGCACGGGGAAATGGCTAACACAATTGCTGTGCCACATTCCGAAATATCGTGGAACCATGTACCCGAGAAATGTCGGTAAAACACGGAGTTCCAGGATAAAGTCGACTTGCCCTTGCTGAAAGCAAGTCAACATTTTATAGTTATGTTTATGATTATGTTGATGGTGATTGACACTAAAAGGCAAACAAATGTTATTACACTCAAGGAAATATAACACTGAATCAAAAACGATGTCGAAATTATCGATTCATTTAATGAATATCGCAAATAAACAGCGAACAACGGTTTTGGTCAGTTGTGTAATTTGCTACGTCACTATGTCTCGATGAAATATGCATTTTGTCTGTTTTAAGTGGGTGCAAGAAGACCTCACACAGTAGTGTAGGAGTTGCTTCTCTGTTTTCATTGTTTCACTTCAGAACATCCCTTTCAATTGGCGGCGTAAAGGTTCCGATAACTGATATGTAAAGAGTTAGAGTACCAGTGATTAATAATCGCATAATTTTAATATTCAAAACACTTCTCAACATATTTGCGCGTATGTATCAACGGAAACACGGACGGTAAGAATTCAGTGAATTTAATATTTGAGTGACCTGCAGCTTTTTATATCGGAGACATCATTCTATTGTTTCTCAACAACTGGCTGTGAGTACTGTGTGGATTCAATCATGGATAGTGTGAAATTCAAATACTAGTAGTCGGCTAAACCCGTGTCTAACTCAAAAGAATACCATGATGTTTTTGAAAGGAATATCGCGTTATTTAGTTTGGAAGTTTAGAGAAATACTACTATGTTGTATATAATTCTAGTGGAGCCATTTAGTTAAAGTTCACTTCATCTATAATAAAAAGGACTTAATTTATTCCAATCATTTTTTTAATTTTGGAATGGCATATTTCAGGCCAAACTTTGACACTTTCTGATACTAAATGCTTGCTGCATTTTAATATAACGTTAATTTAAAGTACAAGTCTAATATAATTGAAATAACATCCAATTATGCAAATTTAATCACATTTGTTCATTTGAAATATTCTATTTTGATGTATCATATTATTATTATTTTTTTTAAATATTTCCCTAATTTTTTTTTTTGTATTTGTCTGATCGCGAAATCACCAAAATCTGAACAAACTAAATAGCAGATCTCGTTAATTCTAGCAAACTCAAATATCAGATCTAAGGCTTTATATACAGCCATAGTAGAACTTTGACGCTTGTGCACCAATGTCATAATCACTGTATACAAGACCTCCTCTGATTTGTTGACTAATCTGGTTTTCAAAATCTCATGAACGAGATGGAACTTTTATGGATGTTCTGATCTTTGGGCGTCGTTCGCAGCCAGAAAATAAAAAAATGAAATTAAGGAAATAGATTTGAAAAAAAATATGAATAAAATAAAAAATTAAAATTAAAATAAAGTAAAAGCTAGTCTAATAAGAACAAATTTTAATCAGATTGGTACAAGTCTACTTTCAGTTAAATTATATTCATAATCTTTTGTTTAAAAATAAAAATGGTCGACATATAGAGTAAATCATCTTGGTATTGGTAGTTCCATTTTATCGACATTTTTTAGGTAATTCAATTTTTGTATATATTTTCACAAATACCACATTAGCGACAAGGCATACTGTATGTTAAGATGCTCAGTTATACATAAAAATATTGTTGTCTAAAAAGGCTGATAATACACTAAATGCAGTGAACTTATCGTCACGTAGTGTGTTATATTAGTATCGTAAATGGTTCATTGGGTTTCCATCACAAAATATATTCGTATTTGCGACCTATTTTTTGTTTTCAATGGGCAAAAGGTAATATATATATCTACAATCGACAAGTTACTTGTATTCAATGTGTTAGAAACACAATGTGATTTCGCGATATGTATACTCGTATAAGTCCACTTTATTAAATTGAAACAGCATTGTGAGAAAAACAATAGTACTAGGGAGTCTGTCACTAAGATGTACAGCTTGGCAATATGCAGTATACGAATGGCACCGCACAATGAGGCCATCGCGAAAGTGGCGACGTTTATTGGTAGTTGTCATGGCGATTTTCGCAGTGGTTGTGATCATCGATGAATATGGCCAAACTGAATCGAAAGTTCGAGCTACGTGAGTACAACCATTATTTAACCGTATATTATGATCCGTCGCTCTGTCATGGCCATCACATTATTATCTGTTTACGGGAGGTCCGATGATACATATACCGTAACGCCCAGTTTTAGTCGCATATTTCTCTCAATGTACAGGCATCACTGACCGACTTATCGTTAACTGAATAGGCGATAGAACCGTCCTAAATGGTTTACTACGTGTCTCATACAATATGCCCGTTAACGACCGCCATTGCTGGTAAATATGATATACATGCAATTGTTAACGGGTCAGTGATTATCAACACATGTTGTAGCAATCTATTTGGTATTTGCGACCTCGAAAAGCCGAAACACATGTGTTATTGAAATTACATGAATAATAAAGTTTTGTATTACTTAATAGGACATCGTTTGCTGAAATAGACAAGGCCGCAGCCGGAAGGGGTAAGGGTAACTGGCTTTTATTAGATTTCAGAGTTGTTATATATGGCGAATGTGTAATTAATTTATTATTCGTACATAGACTAGACACAGACACAGAAACCGACACAGAAAATGCATAGCATGAATCGTCAATTTGTCGCATTATCCAGGCAAATCAGGCACATCACGGGAAGCAAAATACTCGCGATACAATGGCCAGTGTGAAAATGCTGCACATTGAAGGGATTTCCCGCAAATTATGTATGACCTATAGCGTACCTTAACTTAGTTTCTTTGCGTTTATATACAAGTAATTGCAGACTATTTCGAGTTCGAATTAAAAAAATATGCTCTAAAAATTTCAGCTTCCGCTGGGACTCATAAAAGCAGCAATGGAGACACAAAACAGGTAAGTCGGACATTTTTCTTTTATTGAAGATACACTCAATAATGACTACACTTTATTTGGAAAATGGGTCACACGTTTACGGACTTTCAGGTAGTTCGTGAAATCAATCCTACTATATTTGAAAACGCCCAGCTAGCAGCAAGCAATTTGCATTTTGCTTTAGGCAAACACTATTGAGTGTGTATTTCGCTGACTATCACCTCGATTTACAAAATTGCGACCACTTTCCATACTTTTCAAATTTATTCAGATAACTTGCACTGTTTTGAAAGTTTTTAATTCACTAAAGTACTACAGGTTAATGGTTTGACGTCAACTGTTGCCTGGAGCAAATGTGACAATTCCTACTATAGGATAGACGTAACTAATGTGATTGCTTCGTTGCGGATGTCGTCTGCTGCCGAGTTGAACATGGCTATCTTGTTTACAAACGTATATAGTACAGTACAGTACAGTGCTTATTACGCAGTTTCTCGAACTGATTTTGAAGTGGTGCCATTTCGAAAAACGGTTATAAGTGGTTTTCCGTGTTTTGGAGTAACAGAAAAACACTGCGTAGTCACGTGTGGCCGTTGTTTGGCCAATCACATTACATCACATCACATAATCTAGATATTGTAATATACGCTACAATCTCGCGAGAATGAGACATATCCCAGAGCCGTCATTGCGGGAAGAGGCGTGAATGTATACTCTTTTACACCTTAACAGACTGCATTTTTATTTGTTTTGTTTGCAATCTAAGAATACTCCTATGTAGCTTTCTCTGTTGTCGGGTATTCTCACTACATAGCTCCTAAATGAAAAGTTGTTTTAGCGTTATCAAATGAAAACACCATAATGACACAAATAATTACGCCATCAAACTGTTATTTCTCGTTTTTAAAAAGTGATTATGACCTTTAAGTATCCTGGTCGTCACCTCGTATATAAATGACATCCCCACTACGGCACTACGTCATATGAATAATAATTCATGAACACGTCCGATTTGAACAAACAAAATACACAAATCAAACTAGCGACAGACGAATTTATAACTATTTTGGCAATGGAATAATAAGGCTCTGTTTAGGCACTTTATTGTGATTCGTTACTTTAGTTTCCTTTTTTGTAAGATATCTCAATCGCGACAAACGCTATTCCTTGTTTACACTATCAATATTCTTCTAATATTACAGGACTCTATGACGGATATCAATGTATCGAAACAGGACAGCCAACCAGCGGTAGAACCAACCAGCGACCAAACCAATCAAAGATATCTGTTTCCGATATTCCCAAACAAAAAGGGAGCAGGAAATAACGTGCAATATCAAGCGTTTAGAAATGCTGCTGCATTTTGTCTTTTGTCAAATCGTACTTTAGTTTTGACGCCGTTTTTTAATCTGGGAGGGTACGTGCGCGATATAAGCAAGGAGGAACAGAACCCATTCAACGAGACGTTTGACGAAACAAACCTTAAGTCGCTTCTTCCTGTTACAACTGTTGAGACATTTCTTCGCCATTGTAGCGGGAATTTGACCGTGTTTAATTACATATGGCGTAATATGATGAGGCCTGTGCTAAGAAAGTCTGCTATGTCATCTGTAAGCGTAGCTTATCGGGATGTTTTCAACATAGAATTGCCAGATTTCGACGACACGATTCGTGAAAATAAGTACGAAATGACGATGAATTCTAATATCACATGTTTGTGCTTACTTGACTACTTCCCGAATAGACCCGCATATGACGACAAACTCGCTGATGCTTTAGGTTTGGTGAATGCACATCTAAAAAAGGCCCAATATATACGACATGCCGTCGACAGTGTGACGATGAGAATGTGCAACGGAAACTCATTTCTGGCTTTCCACTGGCGGAATAAATCAGGGGAAATGTAAGTATAAACGTGACATTTCCTTCATATGTTTTATTGCATACTTAGATGTTTGTTGCACTATAGTTGTCTTGTCCCATTCAACGTACACAACGCAAGAAATTAGAAAGCTCGCTGCAATGACACCAGAGAGACGATCGGACACATATAATTGAATTCGGTACTACTGCATTGCTACATTCTTTAAGTACTTGAAGACCATATAAAATTAACGGGCATCCTTTTCGTACAGTACATCGTAATGACAAACGAATACATAATACACGAACATATAACGAATATATGACAAATACATATGAATGTAAATTAGATGGATGATTGAGTTGTTAGTGAGCCTAGTGTTTGGGATGAAGAGATACCTACACAGACAAATCACAACTCGGGATATGATCCATAGTTGCCGTGGTCTTAATCGTATGTCCTGTAACATATATCGATGTTTTATATGCATTTTAGTTCCTCCCTTCGAGGTGAGAGCGATCGAACCGAGTATGTTGAAAATGCAATGATGGCGAATGAGCTGGTTCCTAACATTACGCATCTCATAGTGTCACAAATGAATCGCTATTCCATGGGATGTGTGTACGTTGCACATCCAACCTGGTCAAGCGTGAGTAATAATGCATTTATATTCTTAGTCGGTACATTACAAGAAGACATTGTATTATATACGTACACATTGTAAGGGAGTATTTTGTTATATTTAATACTCGATGTAAAGATTATGACATTTAATATATATATTCACATTTGACAGGAAATCATTGACTATTTATCAAGTGCATTACCCCGTCATTTGATATATGACTCGTCTGATATATTTCGTCTTCTGGGCAATGACGGAAGTGACGTCTGGCGAGACGACTACAAACTTTCTTTACTGGAACAAGAAATTTGTCTGAGTAAGTGAAAGCATCTTTGCGTTTATCGCTATAATAATATTCAGATTGTTTGATAATTCGGCGATTTGAATAATTATATTGTTACTGGAGTCTAAGAAAATTAGAATCAAGTTGAAGCTTATGTGTTTATTTGTTTGCATTACTTGTCCTTGTTCAAAGTATTGTTTTGTATCGTAAAATGTTTCCCGGGTAACATAAGCTGCAAGGTCCATATGTTACCGAATTAATTTCTATGGATAACATTCATAATCACATTTCGTCTGTTTCAGGAGCCGACATGTTTATTGGTACGTCGGACTCCTCATGGTCTGTGTCTGTAGTCACAGAAAGAAACGCCATGAGGAAGAAATCATTTTATCTCACTGAAATTATGCCAGACGCACACAGTTTTATTCGGGGTTTTCGTAAATTTAAGACGTGACATGACGTATCAACAACAATCAATCGGAATGACAAATAATATGTGAGAACTAATAAACTTTTCCAGTACGTGACAACGAACTTCCATGACGTAATTTGCAGCTCTTTTAGCAACAGAATCCTGCATTGCAGCCAAGGCAGCTCACATTGTTATGTTGATACATTGTAACTAATCATGTAGATTACTTCTACAACAAAAAAGGTGTTACCACTGTGGCACCAAGTGAGATTTGTTTTGTTTGATGTGACTGAACTTATAAATATACTGTTGATTAACAATCTATGATTAAAGCACACAATGAATGTTTGAAAAAGCCATTAATTTCATTAGTGTCAGTGATTGATGGTTATATGCGAGTTTATGTTATATGTAATCCCTTCTCAGCCAAGTCACTTTGAGTACACATTGGTGTTTACATGTGCTGTGAACGTATCAGACTTTATCTCAGTCAAGGTTGCAATACGGACACTTATGTTGTAAGAGCTGTAGAAATGCAACTCTGCCTAATCGTTCGTTGTTTACATTTACCATATCGCTAAATAAACATTATTTGTTGAGGACATAGAAAAAAACTAACATATGACTTTCCTGAAGATACAACTTCGTTTTATATGTAACAGAATCAGAAAATCACTGATGTAAAGAAGCATTACCAGAGGGTGCATGTCACTTAACTTTGAAAGGATTTTGTATAATTATATCGGTTTTGCCACCCATATATAGAGTCGTAAATAGTTGTAATGTCCTTTAAATACAGATTTACACTGAGCTACACTCTCAATACTGATTCGTATATCTATCATATCATATATCTCTTAATGCAATTTATTTGTTTATTCATATCATGGCAGTTCAGTGTAATAAAGCAGTCTATTACCCTGCATATATCCATACTATGTAATACAATTTCCGGTAATCTGACTTAATCATGCAAACATATTGATAATTTAAAATCTGAAAATGTAGGGTCACTCATTAGATACTTCCTATATATTTTTGAAATATTTGATCATTATTTTAATAAACCCAATCTGTAGCAAGTATATACTTATAGGTGCAACACAATTGCAGCATATTAGGATCTGTATTAATGTTTAGATGGAACAGATATATCAGGGATTCATGACTGAAAATTTTCATCATGCGGAAAGATTATTGTATGAAAATATTGACGCATAGCGGCGAATAATAGGTTTTGTATGTTCTTATTAACCCATCCCCACTCCAGCCTGTCAGTGACGCTGATTGGAATACAACTAAGACCAGAAAGACGGATAAACGTAAATAAGTTGTGTGCGATTACTGCAAAGTCGTCTTGGCTAGTGTTGCTCCGTGTCAAGGGGATTTACAATTGTGTCCATAATGACGTCTCCCTGGTCTCCGTCGTTCTATAAGTCCATTTCAGCCTTATATTAAAAATATAGTTAACGGTTAACTTGAAGTCAAAATTTGACACATTTACCCTCTTAGCAACTATGTGGTGAGCTAGATATACTATAGCCGAACAAAATACTAAATATGCAAGAAAAATACTTTCGAAAATTGATGCCGAATTTTAGGAAACGAATGGCTCACTTGTGCATGTAAGACTAGATAGTTCATATGGTGAAGTTGCTATTAGTAGAGGAAATCTGTCATGAACGGTTTTAGTGTGAATGTCAAACATTTATAATGACAATAGGATTCTCGGACTCCGCTTGCTTTATATGGACAACAGTATTCTTCCTAGTTGCATATATTTGCCTGAAGATTGTGAGGCAAATAGTGATGTGCTTATATGTATTATCTATGTAATACAAACAGCAGTATAACAGATGACAGTGGTTAGGTGCTCAGGATCAAGGTTACGTTCGATCTGGTGCATTAGTCGACCCATTTACATATATTAGTAAATCACATGATAATACGTCATTCCCTGATCATTGTATTGGGTTAACGCCTACTCATACCGTCAGTTTACTCGACTACATTGTGTCTGTTCACTTTCATATATGGCTTGTTTTCGTGTGACGAAATGCCGTGAAACCATGAAGATAATTAATCAATGTGAATCATCTGGTGTTAATTGGAGTAAAGTGAATAATAATAGTAAAATTTAACAGTATCACCGATCAATTAATTAGTCAGATCGCGATTCCTGTTGATTCCTAGGCGTGTAAGAATTGAGATGATCGTGAAAGTAAATTACACACAACTGATTTGTTTTTAGAGTTTAATGTTGTGGGTTATAGGATTTGTATTTGTTTTTTTATCCTGAATTAAAGTATAATAATAAAAACAATTGTTTTGTTATTACCACTAAAACGTGACCTGGACTTTCGTCAGTAATTTCGGAAACACAACCACCATGCCTAGTTATGACCTACGTAACTCCTACTTGGCACCATTGTATATTGAACAAAGTGTAACATTATTTTCGTAAAGCATGAACTAAAGAAGGTCCGTGATTTATCAGACGTTTTTTATATTGAATTTAAATACGAATCATGTATATTTTTAAAATAATTATTGTCGTAGCTGGTATTTAAAAGTCATGATAATTACTTAAAATTACTTAAAAACCACATTGTTGATTTCGGTTTAGCGTCGGTTGACAATGAGCTCTGAGGGTCATCTGAACTGTATGTCAACCTCATTAATTTTATACCGGATATAGAAACATATACAACAAATGAAATATAGTTAAACCACCATGATCGAAACAAATGTTTTATTGTATAATAATATGATACAAATCTACTAAACATGATAATAACCTACTAAATAAGATATCATCTTACTAATATACAGCCTAATTATATATCAATGTAATACAAATAACGTGTCTACAATATATATGATACAACCAAATGAATAAATGACATAAATCCTCTAAACATAATATGCAACTAACCTCCTAAATATGATAGCATACTTCTAATATACAGTAACAACCTAATCAATATACATATCAACCTAATTATATATTAATGTAATACCTATTATGTACCTGCAATATATATGATAAAACCCAATGAATAAAAAAATTACATAAATCCTCAATAAATGATTAAACCCAATAAATGAATAAATTATGTCATCCTACTAATATATATAGTAACAACTTAATCGATATATATATATCAATGTAATAAATGCCATGTATCTACAATATATATGATAAAAATCCACAATTAGATATATAACAAATCTTAAATATATGATTTCAACCGACTGAATTATATAGAGAGAATATATTTCTTCATGAAAGTAAACAGATGAATATGATTTTATGTCATAATTATTATCCAAAGCCAAATGGCGATAAAAAACAAACGGAACAGTGACTCAATAATGAAATTTAATTACAAAACTAATCACACCTCTATTTGAGGAAATGTACAAACCATGCCCTATCTATAGCAGTTGAGCATTAAATTCCTTCACATTTTGCAGCTCATTTTATATAAGGAAATCAAGTACATACAACTAGTTAGTTGATTACTTAACAGAAACATTGTAAATGTGAATCGTATTGAGATAAATAGAACGCAGAAAATGAACACACATTATAATGCTGAGCACTAAAAATTGCAAATATCATAATTTATCAACCATTGAAGTAACGGATTTTAAATTCATATCATAACAAATATCACCGATAAACTTTTAATTTAGAACTATAAACACACGACAAATCAAAAAATGTCGACTTAAGCGAAGGAAAATTAGGGGAGATCGCGAGATCGTGTCTAAACAAATAACTTCATTACGAAATCAATTGCCGAGACGGATCCAGTTTCTACAACACAAAATGGTTTCTTGTACCAGTTCCTGTCAATACTTTAAAAATACAATAATATTGAAGGGACATTATGAATAAAATATTCATTGCTCAACCAACCGAACAGGTCTGTATCCGAAATTATTGAAGTAAATATTCGGGGAACGACATATAATTGAATTTTACAAATGTTTAATCAAGAAATGAAAGCGATGATCAGCAGGATGAATGTTACTGAAATGTTTATACCCATCATATTCATAATCACGCAACAATTTAGATGAACTTAGTTCGACATATCCAATAGAGAGTGCTGCAGCAATAGTAAAATCATGGTTGTAAATTCCACACATACCAAGACGACCAGCAAGTCGATTTATTTCTGCAAACGAATGTAATATTAGAATCAGAACTAACACTCGTCATTGGTAGTATATTTAGTATAATGATAAATATCTTGATATAAGTTATGAAAAAAAACAAGTCTACAAACTTAAATATTTTACTCAACGACTTGGAGCAGAACAATTGACGGAAAGTAGACGATCGTAAACTTTGAGTTAATTATTGTTGTGCCTTGGATCAACATGGTTTGTCTTGTAAACTGTGGGAATGTGGTTACTCTGAATTATTCGTTATTTAGAACGACAAAGTATGTATGTCTTACCCATGTCAACAAGTTTCTGAATACGTGGAACTAATTCAATATCTACTTCATCACTCACAGCTGATACACCAACATGTAACCACTGACTTGGTGCGTTCACTTGAACCAATCTTTTGATTTCCTCAATCGCTGTATTTAACGCGTCCGGGAGGGCTTGTAGAGGCAAACAATTACCTAAAGTTTCATCCTGAAGTCTGTTACTGCTCATAAGATCTTCATTTTGGGAAACTGCCACAATGCGTCGATCACTTTTTCGATAAATCAGGAATGAAAACTCCTTAGAATGCAAAAGTAAATGTTCGAAATAAGTCATAAGCCAATCAATGGCTCGTTGACGATCTACATTCAATGACGCAATGAGTGGATTTGTATCAACAAAACGAATAGCAGCCATCAAACACGCATTATCGATGTCTTCTTTAGCGACAACATTAATATATACTATTTCATAATCTTCATCTATGTCACTTTTTGTCGTCGTTTTCTTTGTTGGGTCAATAACATCTTTCAAACATTCGGCTGCAAAGAAGTCCATCATTTCCACAGTTAAACCACCTGCTCGAAGTTTCATAATAACCTCCACGGCATTTACTGTTGAAAAAAATGGACATACACATTTCTAGATATTCATTTAGTTATTTATTATATCAAAAATGTTCGTCAATTCCGGTTTTAGCCTCAGTTGTATCACTTCTACTCTGAACTTATTCAGGATTGCATTTGATTCGGAGAAACAAAGTTCACAAATAACATTTGTGTTTGTAATCTTCTAATCATTGTCATACGTACATGAATTACCGCCAAGTTGAAAATAATTATGTTTCAGAGATACGTCTCTCTCTGTCAGATTTAACACTCTAGCTACTGCAGAACGAATGATTAATGCTTTGAACGAGTAATCATTTTCATCTGTCTTCATTTCCACGCGAAATGCACTTTCTTTGGCGAGGTCACTTTTGTTTATCTTACCTAAATAAAAAGTTAAAATTAATATTGTTGCATATGATTGTTTAGAATCCGTCATAGCACCAGCTATATTTCAACAAAATAAATAATTCATGATAATATTTATTATTATACATCTGTCACCTTGACGCCTTAAGTTGCATTATGCCCTAATTTTGCGGTATTGCAATTGGTATTTGCATTGTTCCATATTAGGATATGCGCATTCAAAATATGGAATGATTGTGCGCGTACACAAACAAGTTCACTAAATTTGTGTTGATTTCGGCATTTCCATGACGTATCTTGGAAGGAAAAGATGAATAATAATAGTAAGGATATTGCGAGGATACTGCAAAGTATGCACTCAGACAGTACGCGTATTGTTCGATATCGATTCCCCTGTCTTCGTGCATACTCTGCACTATCCTTGTAATAATCTCAGAGTACAACAAATGTCATGTGCACAACAAATTAATAAGTCAATAGTTAATCATGTCAGAACATATTGTATTACATAACACAAAATCCATTATTACTCACCGTTTGGTAACAATGGGAAGTTGTTAACAGGAACAATGGTAGGAATCACAGTCGAAGGCAATATGAACTTTAACTGTTGATACACTGATTCTTGTTTCCATTCCTTGACACCATCCACAGGTTTACAATATGCCACCAATGTTTGTTCTACTTCATCACGGAACACAACCACGACTTGTTCCACTTCTTTAATATCACAAAATGCCATTTCTATTCCATGAAAATTAATCACATTATCTGTTCGACCTTCATACATCAGCAGTCGCTTTCCAGTGGCTTCACAGTGTATCAATTTCATGAAATCACCAGACCTACACATCACTTTGTGTTCGTTATCTGTTTCAAATGGATTACTTATAAATTTGTCTGAATTCTCAGATGAATTCAGGTAGCCATATGAAACACTAGGCCCGCTGATATAAGCCATACCTATTTCCCCGATGTTAACAGGCTGCAGATCTTCGCTCAACAAGTATATGTTGCTGTTACAAGTTGGTAAACCACAACTCATTTGTTTGTAGGGTATTGTTTTGAAATAATTACAATTAATGGTCACAGAAGTGACATCGCAAAACTCAGTTGTACCATAAATGTTAGAAAGGTTGTGTGTTGGAAGTATTGAAAAGAAATCAGAGGCAAGTTTTTTAGTCAACTCTTCCCCTGTCACAGCGAATGTGTGATTTTAAAATCTGTTTTCCGTCAGCTGACTTCACTCGCAATACATTCAACATGGTTTTTAGTTGAGTTGGAACTAAAAGGATCCATGTTATTGCATGTATATTTAGAAACTGAATGAACAGTTCTGAATTTACAACTGTGCTTCTGTCAGCAACAACTACTGGGAGTCCTTTCAGGAGGAATCCAAATAATTGTGTTGTTGAATCTACAAAGTTTAGTGATGCTATCCAACAAACAACTTCCGTTTTGCTGAAAGTGAAAGAATCCCAAAGTGCCCTACAACGGCTTAGTATATTTCTATGAGACTTAATGACACCTTTTGGAACCCCAGTGGAACCAGAAGTATATAATACACATGCAGCTGCATCGGTGTTATTAGCTTGACATTGGTCTGTTTCTGTTGGAACGTTATCATCAAATTCCACCATTCTTTTTTGAAGATCAACTAATAAAAGGTAAGTCGGAGAGCAGACTTCGTTTGGTGTGAACTGTAACCCAGTCTTGCTTGATTCAGTTATAACACATACTGGATTTGCATCACCAATCATATGTCGGAGGCGTAATAGGGGATAACTTGGGTCAAGTGGGAGATATGAAAAACCTAATTTGAGAATAGCAAATATCAATATGATTACATCATCACTTGGATGCAAATGCAGGCCAATAGTTGATGAAGTATTACATTTGAATGTCTTCATCGTATTCCTAATAACAAGTGCCATTGCATTAGATTTCTTATTTAGCTGAGAGAAAATCAATTTACTACTTCTGTATATTACTGCTGTCTTGTCTGCATCTTCCATTTTTGCTTTGTATTCGAGGACACCATGCAGTGTGGATGATGGCATCCCATATGGTGCAGGTACCATCTGTCCTCGTATGATACTTGCATTTTTATCTTCCATTAGAGCCATTGTTACCAGCAAATCTAGAAGATACAATGGCATCTATAAGTGTGTTTTATTTTCTTTGTGAAATGTCACTATGATTTCCCTACCTAAATTTAACTTTCATTCAAAGTTTCAAAAAGAAGCAAGATTGAGTAGATCAATTTGAGATTGAGTAATATTGTTTTGGTGTCACTCATTCGTTTGTGCGTGTGTAAGTAAAATAAATCCTAAACTATAGATAGATTCAGCCGGGATTGCTCTTGCATAGAGACTGTCATATTGACTCATTTTGAACAATACAGGGTGTAGTTTGGGAAATTATACACTCTTTTAGTTCTCTGGATACATATTTTTGCAATATATGTTGGCAATCTCTCGACTGTGCACTGTATTGTTTACTTCATTTTGTTATCGTCATCTATGTTGCGTGATTCAGTCGTGGTATTATGTCAGCTATTGTTTCCTAGATAATAGTTATATTTCATCATGACCATTAAAAAGCATTTTAAATCTAAGCGATATTTTAGTCTGGTTAAGCAGTCCGCTTAAAAATGAGTTAAACTCATTCATAGACGTGAATTGACGCAAGGCACTCCTTTTGTAGCTGTTCGTGTATAGGTTCATCGGGTAGTAATTTAAGCAATGTGATGAATATTGGTTCAATGTTCTGACTGTCCTGTTGTTACATCACTCTACTAGCCACAGTTCATGTCGGAAAATTGAGCTTGATTACAATTTAGGATTCTGACTGAGATTTAGCCAGCCAATGAGATTGATTTAATTTCAACCAATCAGCTCCTTTATCTTTTCACCAATCATGTACAAGGCCATATTCATTGTAACCATTCATGAACAAGGCCAATATTTACTTTGATAATATAAATAGGAGACGAAACGTCTCTTCTTCAGTTCGTTTTTGGTTCGTTTTGTTCGTTCATGGTTCGTTCATAGTTCGATCAATAAAGTCTTCTATTACAGTCCATACGCGGTTTATTCTTCCATTCCTGAACTTGAACCTACTCTTTTTAACAATTCCCACAGTTCATAACTGCTTGTATCGATTGGGTTTATTTGGGCCGTAATATGCAAGAGTTAACGCACTAAATAGTGGCTGATTTTCCTTTGTATAAGCAGGTGTTGTGCGGTACTGCACGACCGTGAGGGACCCACTAGTTAGAAGTTCGTTTAATGGGGTCATTGAATCAGTGAATCCTGTACGCACTGGAGTTCTTGTACATTTATTGGTTTTTGCCATTTTGACAATTGTCTTTTCTTTACGGCTTTCATACCGTCTTTATTGGACATGTTTATGTCACTTTGTCGCCACCTGACGTGTATTCCCTGACACGAATACCCAATCCATTCTCTTCAATATGCCTAGTCTTACATCGTGTTATGCCTTGTTTTGTCCGGGTATGAGAGCATTATCATGAAACACAACTACACCTTTGATTCAATTTAGAAGATCCGCCATTAAATTTACCTGGTCTTGTCACTCTGACGGAAATACATCTGGAGTTATGAATGTTGTTATTTTGCATCTTTTTTTATGTAATTCTGTTTTAGTATCTGGACCTTGCATTTGACGTCTTAAAAACACTATCATACTAATTTGGACGTAATATTCCACTGTATAGAGAACATATTCCTCATGTTTAATTGATCCTTGTTCAGTTCGATATATATGAGCATCGATCACATTCGCATTTGGTAAGACCTTTCTGTCGGCTCGGCCATTTTTTCTACGGTTCCCACTCCTTCCATACATTTCAGTTTTTGTTGGTAACAATGGAACTAGGATGCGGCGGGCGACACTTGCGTGGAATGTGGCAATATACTCGTGCATATGTTTTCGTACAGACCCTCTTTTATTTAAACTAATTTAAGATGATTGCTCAGTCTCAACTGTAGATTATATTTCTGTGTCGTATGTATATAAGTAACTTTGGGGGTTAACTTGAATTTCATCTGGAGTGGTGAGACATTATTTTGTCAGCTATGCCGATAACTAGTATGTCCGTTTTGCGAGCGTCTTTCTGATCACAGTAATCACAATGAACCATCACTTTGTACAAACATGGTGTGTGCTTCTGCTGGTTCAATGTTTTGTGTGTGTTGACCAAACATTTCAAGCTCCTTTTAGGTTTTAGGTTGAAGTGAAACAAAACTGAAACAAAATATTTCACTTTCACGACGCATGGTGTATATAAGTGAACTGACTTAGATTTCGCCATTGTCCTTATTTAGCTTTTTAAGGTGGTCGGTTTTTTGTTGGTTTTGATTACATTATTGTCTATATACATCCTATTATTTTTAACTTTATAAAATTCTGCCAATCTAAGCTTCGCGCACACACATTTCACGTTTCACCCATTTTTAGTGACCCCCCCAAAATTATGTTTCCAATAAATCAGACAAATTTGTTTTAAAATTCATTTGTTGAACTACGTGTACGGTTATTCGTATAAGATAGCAATGGGAGAGTGATGGATGTTACAGCCGAAAAAGTGGTTCTTGAAAAGCTGCGTACCTGTTCGGTACTGGCCTTCATTAAGTACGATTTTACGGACGACTCATACCGCTGACGGGTTACTTTTTTTGTCAGATTAGTACTTAGTTGTGCAGACGCATTGATTGGTATATATTTTGGACAATCCAGCAGCATTAATAATATTTTTCATTAGTGAAAATCATACTGTGAGCTGGATCAAGGGACAAGAGTTATTGTGAAATAATTCTGTAATTTGTACACAAACCATTTGCATGCATTTCAAAATTCAAATTTCAGTGTCAATATTCAATAACGTAAATTGATACTTTGTTTAAGCTATGTTCTATTCACGCATGTCTCGCCCAGCCAAAGCTTCGACATACCAGACTTGTAAAGTATACTCTTGATTTTAGTCATCCAGGGTGATTTGTATATACCTTTGTCATACAAGGCTTTCATTAAATTATACATTCTATGAGATATTTTATATGATTTACTATGAATAATACTACTCCAAAATTGCAGTATTATATTTTCAACAAGCATAGCAAGTTGAACCTTCCCCAG